ACATGCATTTAGGTTATTTTCTTGAATGTATCTGTGGGTTTTCAAGGTAGAACTGGGGCTTGGCTCGACTTAGGTGTATGGTTAGGTTAGGATTATAGTCTGTGGATTGTGTCAAGAGTTCGAACCCCGAGTGGAGGAGAGCTGATTGTGCATGAACAAGGCACGAGGATGGGTTCAAGGTATTAGTCAACAGACCTAAGGCGGTCCGAATACTCTGAAGGCCCACGAGGCGTACTAGTCAGGCCAAAGGCCTGGAGAACAGTCCAGACAGGCTAAGGTCCGGAGAGGCGGTCCAGATATGATGAAGGTTCTTAGAGTGGTCCTAATAGGCTGAAGGCCCGGTGAGGTGGTCCAGTCATGTTGAAGACTCTGTATGTATTTTGTTACATGTATGTTCTTGTATTGAGCATACTGCTTTGTAATAATAACCTATGGAATCGTACGTTCCATGCTTGCGGGTTATCATTGATAGAGTGCCCTTAGGGACTATTGGTGGTCATGTAGGACAGCCTGGAAACTCTTGAATAGCAACTTGTTCCAAGAGGGAATCATGTGTGGTAGAGTTTCAGTACTGCGATGCTTGTTTGGTGATGTGAGGAATGTTGATTAGGCCTTTTGGGCAGCGGAGGGAGGTGGGAACCTTGAGGCCTGAAGGATTGGGCCACTGACGAGAATACGACAGCATCAATGGGTTATCAGAAGCATTCTAGTCATAGGTTGTGGGCTTAATGATCATAAAGATTCATTCCTTCTGCATTTGGTGTTCTCGGGATTGACGTGTTGATGGGAGCTTGACGATCCCTAAATCCGTTGGTTGGATAAAGGAAGCAGTAAGGACTGAGGGGAGTATCACTCAGATATCAGAATGAATCCGTAGAATGTTATCCTGTAGTCCTACATGCCGCAATTTGTTGTTAGGGATCAGATGTAATGCGGAAGTTCTTGGTTGACCATATTCTTTCTTCGCTCCGGAGATTGGTAGTGGCATGGTAAGGAGTCAAAGGTTATACTAAAGTTTTGGTGTATCATATGGATTTGGATTGTGAAAAGTTCGCTATCGATCTATTTGAGGATCTTTTTTGCATGATTTGTGGTAGTTTCAGTTAGAAACTTGGGGTGGATTCATGGACGGCCATTCCAGAATGGCTTATAGTGGAAACTTGCATTGGGGATCGCAAGTGTATCCGTTGAGGAATGCACTATGGAGGGTAGTGAGGTAAATGGAGGAACCTTTTGGTTTATGGGGTGAATCGCGAGTTGCAGGCGAAAGGTATAATGTCATCAATTGGAAGTCGAGGGTTGTTGGGTTAGAGTGTCACTGTATTTTAGGTTCTGAGAACTGGGTTAGATCTTTCTCCAGATTATCTATGGAAACACATCATGTTGGAGGGTTGAGGCAGTCCTACTCTATGCAGTAGTCCAAGATACCCGGTGCGGGTCAACTGTAATTCGTAGGAACGGAGACTTAAGAGGAGCAGTAGGGTTGCGGCAGTAGGCCAAGATACCCGGTGAGGTTTGACGGTAAGTCCTAGCCACAGAGTCCAGGTGGAGTGGTAGGGTTGAGGCAGTAGGCCGAAAAACCCTGAAATTTTCAATTTGGTGGTTGATTGGATTTGACATATTGATATTCCAGCCCGAGGCTGATCGGGCCAATCATAAGTGTTTGTGATCATGCGTTAGCAGTTGACTGTTACTTATGTAGATTTGGGAACTGAAGGAAGTATTGTCTTGTCAACACAAAACAGGTTCTTCTCCCAATTTTCCTCATGTTGCCTTTGTTATCCACGAAAATTCGGTCAATGAAAGAGTTTTCCTTAAAAGAATATATAATCTATTCTCCAGCAGAGAATTATCGGTAGCCGCATATGATCCATGATTGTGTTTTGGCAAGGACTCCAGGTTTTCAGTGTGTGATCTGCTTCCGGAAGAATGGAATTTGGGTTCACGATATATCAGGCCATTTGGGGTTTTGCCAAGGATGGCAAGGCGGCGTATCGACTGGGTCTCCAGGAGGAGCTCAGTCAAACTCATAAGACTTCCCATGTCTTGCAGTTGTGAAAGTGTCTGTCGGGCGAGGATGCCATGGCATCATTGGGTGATCTTCAGGATGATGGGTGCCTGAACTTCGTTGAGAGGCCGGTGGTCTTCTTGGAACAAAAGGTTAAGGTTTTGGGTAACAATGCAATACCTTTGGTAAAGGTACAAGTGATAGGATCGGAGGGGATCCCAGTAGATATGGGAGCCGGAGGCTGGAATGCAAAAGCATTATCTAGATTTGTCCACTATAGTAGGCTTTGTGGACGAAGCTTAATTCAAGAGGGAGAGAGTTGTAACATTCTAATTTCCAGGAATGAGATTTTAGAGATTTGCACGCAATTAAGGAAGCCTACTCGGCAAGTTGGAGGACCCAACTCGTTGTGTAGAGATTAGTCAGACTACGTGATTTATGAGGTCTACTTGACGAGTTGGTGGACCCCAACTCAATGAGTAGGAGCTAGAAAATGAAACCCTAATTTCCAGGGTTTTACACCCTATTTAAAGGGTCATTAGCCTCCCTTACCGTCCCCCTTGAGCTCAAAAAACCCTAATCACATCTACTCTCCATTTTTGTGTGTTAAGAAGCTTGGAAGGTAGATTTTGTGAAGAGAGATTGAAGTCTAAAGAGCTTGGAGCAAGGAGAAGCTTGTGGATCAGATTCTACTCCATCGTAGCATCATCTTGAAGTTAAAAAGTCATTACCTTGACTTCTTTCAAGTTAGATCTCTTCATTCATATGGTTCGGTCCCTTTTTAGCATATTTGTGGATCATTTCGGGTATTGGACATGATCTGAAGTTGTAAGTTCAGATTTGGACTCCTCTAACTCCTTACAGTCATAAAGTTATCAAATTTGGCAAGCTTTGGCCGTTCTCTTTGGCTTAAACCTCCCCCTTAGCTTGGTTTTGGCATTTAGGACCTTGCATGTACGTAAAGTTTGTAACTTTACGTGGAACCCATGCCATAGGAGGTTAGATATGCAATCTAGAGCTTTGGGGTAGCTTTAAAAATGTCTGAATGAGAAATGGATTGAAGGGAGTTGATGAGTTGCATGGCTAACTCGATGAGTCGGATGAAGATTGCCTGTATTGGTTCTGCATGGACTCGACGAGTCAGTGAAAAGGCTCGACAAGTTAGTTAGGGGTTTTCTCGACATTTTGACATCGCATGGACTCGATGAGTTACCTGGAAACTCCGCGAATCAACTAGGGTTTTCACGAGTTCTCGAGTCTGGAAGAACTCGAAAAGTCAGTGTGCTACACTCGACGAGTTGGGTCAACATGAACTGTTGACCTTGACTGTTGACTTTGACTTTGATCAAGGTTTGACGAGTTTAACTTCTGGGAGTATTTTAGTAATTTGGGAATTTATGGAAGTGGATCATTGGTGGATGTAGGTGTTTTAGTTGCAGTTGTATTTGGAGGAGTTGACATTGTCATCTTGAGCTACTTGTGAGGTGAGTTATCCTCACTATACTAATAGGGTCGAAGGCATTAATGTCGTCCCTTTTTGGATTTGTATCCAGGTTTATTGCATGATATGCTTATTGATTTACATATTGGTAGTTAGGATGGTGATATGCTTAGTGACCTGGTAGGTTGGTATCCTGGTATATAGGATAATGTTATGTATGTGACCAGTTAGGTATGTATCCTGGTTATAGGATGTTGCTATGATTAATGATCCCTTAGATCAGTTTTACTATTATATATGCTAGCGTATGATATTTATGTGCACATGATTTTTTGTTGTGGGGGTTAGGTTGAGGCGGTCCTGCTTTATGTTGAAGGCCAACATACCTTAGGTGGATCGGATTCACTATAGAACCTAGAGGGAATACTAGTCAGGCCAAAGGCCCGACGAGCGGTCTGGATAGGCTGAATGCCCTGAGAGGTGGTCCAGTTGTTCCGAAGGCTTGGAGAGTGGTACATATAGATTGATGGCCCTGCGAGGCGGTCCAGTCAGGTTCATGGCTCATTATGCATGCTGTTTGTTTATATGATATGATTATGATTGTATGGCGTTGGTATTTTAGAGGAACTCACTAAGCTTTGGGCTTACAGTTGTTTATTTTGTTTAAGGTACTTCTTATGATCGAGAGAATGCGAAGGCGTGATTGTATACCTCCTTATGTTTTCATGATTTCATTCTGGGATACTCTGACACTAAACTATTTTGATTTTTTTTTGTAATAATTATGTGTTGTTGAATGATTTAAAAAGTATAAATTTGACATGATTTTTATGGGTGTTACAGATCTGAACACAAATATGAGAATAAACATGAAATTCTTCTTCAATTTATCTTTCAAAACACAAATCAAGAACAAATCTGATGATAGAACAAGTAGAAGATAACAGATCTGAACAAGGTTTTGCAATAATATGAGATATTATACTTTTTCTTTTCAGAAAACTTACAAAACTTGAAGAAGAAGGTGGGATTCATGAAATATTTTTGCCAAATCTGATAGATTCTTGTAATAATCGTTGAGATCTACAAGAACCTTCTCTGATGCAAATTGTTGAAACAATAAAACAATAATCGATAGATTCAGAATAATTTAGTTGAATCAAACAATTAGAACAAGGATTGAATGTGATTGAAAGTGTGTCGAATGCTTTATTATCAATATCTTATAATAGATCGATTAGAACTTCTCTGTAAAGATACGTAGGGATATAAGAACATTAACCCTATTACGATACATGCATGTTATATTAATAGTCTAACCCTAGCACCATAATGATGGATGGACATGCTCAATATGATAAAATAAAGACTAAATACATGCATAATCAATATTGACACAACACCATAAATATCCCTACAATCTCCCCCTTTGTGTCAATAAGGAATGAAGATTCTTCACTGTTGAACACACTTCTGTACCTTGAAATGTTTCGACATTAAGCTAAGCAAGGTGCTGCGAACTAAGATGTACCATTTTATCATATATGTGAATCACTTTTTATCTGCAACATCATTCACCTTGTATTGATCAGTTATCCCCACAATGTAGTTCAAATATGAAGAAGAATAGAGATGTTTCTCCGATAAAGAAAATAAGAATTTATGAACATTGGTACCATCTCTAGCACTTTGTTGAAACGCCACACTCCAGTTGTCTTTTTGAATTCTTTTGAGTTTCATTTTGGAGACATCATTCGGTGCTTCTTTTGGTAGCACAGTGGGTTTCCTTCGCAAAATAGCTACTATCTCCACATCCATTTTCACAACTTCATGATGGGTTCGAATTTCTGTTCATCCTTTAATAAGATATGGAATAAGGAAATCCAATTGTAAGGATTAAGTCATGGTAGATCAGCAAGAGTGAATTAAAATATTGACTTTCTTGCCCCTCGTGACGCTTTGAACCAAATATTAATAAAGCTCTCTGTTTCAATCGGACCAAAGACCTTCACAACAGTAATCTTCTTCGAACTCCAAGTTTGATATTGGGGCTTTCCATGCTTGAGATAAAAGGAGATAAGCATGAGATTGGAATAATTATCTAACTCATGAGCTTTCTCAAATTTATCAAAACATCGAAATAGAAAGGCCTTCAGAGTTATTGGAAAGTCGAGCTGAGACTCCGAAGTGTTTTCCAATTCAAACGAAGCAACTAGTTCCAACCAGTAAATATTCAGATTGTCAACAGCTTCGTTCAAAATACACTCCATCGACTAAGGAGGGAAGAGGGTCTTTTGAGTCTCGAGAGTAACCTGTGCTTCACGATCTTCCCTTTCCTGGTCTTCAACTTCTTTGGCAATCTACAAAATTTTATCAATCTCTTGGTAACGTTTATTTCTTGTAAGTTTAGCCCCTTCTGATAGATCTTATTCTTCTTCATCCTCATCAATCAACTTTTCTTTTCCTTTTGATCCCAAAGCTTCATTACCCTTCGTTTCATTTAATTTAGGCTTGAGTTCATGTTCACCAGAATCATCAACTCGTTTCTTGGGTTCCTCAGTAGATGTCTTCTTTGCTTCTCCCCGTTGTTTCAAAAAAGAGCCAGCTTCCGAAACACCCTTGATACAGTTTATCATGGAAAAAACCAGGCTTGAGTTTGTCGGCTAGATGTTTTCATACTCAAACCATGAGAAAAGAATCATGGGTTTCAACAAGATTTAACAAATATTGATTAACATCTCCAACACAACTTTTCATTAAAGCTTTTTCAGACTTGAGCTCATCAATCTGCTGGTTTGCATTCGCAAGTTAGACTGAAAGAACCTTCGTTTTTTTGTTTTCACAACAAGATTATCCATGATCTTATTTTCTATTGCAAGATAAGCTTGAAGCTTCTCGATTTTCGAAGCAATAGAGGCACTCATTTCCTCATTATCCAGTCGGAGTTCAAAGAGAACTTTTGATAGATCATCTTTCTCTGTTTGAAGAGTAGCTCCGAGACTAGTAATCACCTTGTTCACGGTTGTTATGTTTCTATCAGAGGAGCTCCAAAAATTTCCATGAATTAAGAAACATCAACAAGTAGTTTTTCGACTCTTTCGGTCGATTCACGAACAGTCTTCTCCGAGTTTTCAAAAACTCTAGTAGAGGCATCAAGACTTTTTGCATGCTATGCGTTGACAGTCTCGATTAGTGCCTTGATTGACTCAAAGGAGTAGGCATTTCTGGATGAAGATTTGGAATACTCTAAGAGAGTGTCCAACTTTTCATTAAGAGACTTGAGTTGGCCTTTAGTCATCGGAGCCTCATCATCACTCTCTTCAAAAAGTAGTGAATGGACTATAGTGGAAATCTTGGAAGTCATCACAATCATCACCAAAGATCGTATCTGGATCATCAGTCCTTATGGTGAGAGAGGGGTAGAATCCTGACTGGTAGTAACACCAAAAGTACTTGCCCCTATATCAGATACGTTGACAGTTACTGGAGGTGAACTCGTAGCAGTGGTGGTTGTGGTTGTGGATTCGTTGTAGAGGGGAGTGGTTTGAGCAACTAAAATCTGTGGTTGCAAGACTCCAAAAGATACATTTAGACATGGAGCGGTTGTGATTAGTGTATAGATGGGTGTAGATGTAGTAGTAGGAGAAGGAACATGAAAAGTTTCATTTAGTGAAGGAATAGAGGAATGAATCAGAGATGTTACCTTCGTAGCATTCTGAGTGGTAATGGGCTCCGAGACCATTGGTTGCGAACAGAATCCTGTATGTTCAGTTTCTCGATAGTCTTGCTCTATTCTCGGAACATCAGAAATGGTATGAGAATCCGAATCTTCTTCAACAACTGGAGTGGGTGATCGCGGCTTATGAACGGTCTTCTTGACTTTCTTCATCATAGTTTTATCTGGTTTGGAAGGACCAACCTTTGTCTTTCGCTTACCTTCCTTTTAGGCTTGTTCACTTCCTCTAAAGCCTTTTGCATCTCAAGTGTTAAAGGACGAGACCTGATGTAGGTGTCTTCCAATACTTGTTGATGAGCTCGTTGTCTGTTGGAGCGCAGTCAGTGTTGCAAAACTCGGCCTACTCGGCTGAGTACTTGGCCGATTACTCGGAATTGGCCCTCCACCGAGGTGAGTAATCTGAACTCGGCAAAAAAACTCGGATTAATTCAAACTCGGTCAAAAATAGGCTGAGTACTTGGCCGATTACTCGGAATCGGCCCTCCACCAAGGTGAGTAATGTGAACTCGGGAAAAAAACTCGGACCTACTCAGTATTACTCGAGACTACTCGGTCAACATCTGTCTAACTCGGACCTACTCGATATTACACGAGACTACTCGGTCAAACTTGGCCAACTCGGTCAAAATCGGTCAAAGGGTCAAAATTGTCATAAAAAGAGAAAAAAAAATCAAGAATTTCAAGATTAATATGTATAATACACTTAATGATTTATTATTTAACACACACATGTGATTATTACTACATATATATCTTAAATTTTCAATAATTATTGATGAAGTGAGACATTTGTCTGTATTTCAGTTTTTACGTATTCATATGTATCTAATTTTGTTATATATTTCAATCAAATTGTGATTTTAACTTGTGATTTTGACATATATAATTTTACTAAAAATATTTCTACATGAATTACCGAATCTGAGTACTCCCCGAGTACTTGCTACTCCCCAATCGGCCGAGCAGGTACCGAGTAGCGAGTTCCACAACCTTTAACGCAGTTAAGCATTGCCTCTGGAAGAGATATAATAAAGTCGAAATTCGTAGGATCAGATACAATGAGGTTAAAGGTATGAAAGATTGGGATTGCTACGATGATACAACCCTTAGTCACTGAAATGTTGAGTTTAGTGATGGCTATGTGGACGATAACAGACCAGAACTGAGCACACGAAATCTCTAAGTGTCGTTTCGTGGAAAGAGTACTCTGAAAAAGTTGTCCCAAAGGATGGAACCATAATCCAGGTTGATTACTTGGTAGAGTCCATAGATTATAGTGCAGAAAAACTTACTTGCATTATCCAAGCCCATGACCCGCTCTGAAAAAACTTTTGAAAAGAAGGGTAAAGAGGTCATTCCACATCGGAGGTAGGTTGGACTTCTTGAACTTGGATAAAATGGCGAGATTTCCCACGTTACCCATCGGGTAGAACATCTCCAAGATTGTAGAAGAAGAGATTGACTCCGGATCAACCAGATCTGTAGCTTGAAAAACCCTAGCAATCATCTGAATCGAGACTTGGAGATTGATGTTTTGTGGGAATCGATCTCAAAGGTAATCATAGACCCACCTTCCTGATAACTTGTAGTTGAGAATGCCTAGGATAGATGAACCAAGGGGACATTCTATGCCATGGTGAGGGTCGGATCTAAGGGAGAGTGACGAAGACACTCAATCATCGACTGGAGAGAGACGGTGTATTTCGATGAGTCAAGATCCAAGATGATATTTTGTTTGGCTTGATGTTTAATAATCCCGATGAAGCGATTTGGTTAGCTACGGATGGAGTTTCAGATGAAGAAGTCGTTGATGCACACGAAGAAGATAGACAATGTTTGAGAGAGAGATAGAGAGAGAAAGAAAAAAGAGAGAGACAGAGAGAGAGAGAGAGAGACAGACAGAGACAGAGACAGAGAGATTTTCCTGCCAGAGAATTGGAAAGCGTTGAACGTTGTAAGTGTAATGAAGCATCAATTTCCCTATTTATATGGTCTGAAAGGTGAGAGAAATTTGGCGTTTGGCGCTTCCAGATCCCATAAAAGTAGCCTGAAAAGACATGACAACTAGAGTGTGTCAGGCGCTGAGCATCATCGCTACCGGTTGATTGAAAACCAATTGGTGTTAGAAAGGCTCAACCTTACCCATACAATGCATTCAACCCTCCAAGACAGAGCATTCGATTACAGCACTCCAGGCCATTGTGTGAGGACTTGGTCGATGTCATTTTTGACCCCCAATAATCCCCCCTCATAAATTTCTTCCTGCGAGAATTGAACCCTTGCAGTTCTAATACCACTTGGTGAACGTTAGTGCTACCGGTTGATCTAAAACAAATTGGTGTTAGAAAGGGCGGAACCTTACACATATAGCACATTCAACCCTCAAGGACCAGGCATTCGATTACGACATTCCAGGCCATCGTGCAACGACTTTGTCGATGTCATTTATGACCCCCAAAACACCTCATCAGTTTGAGGATTTTTTACGCAAAGTTACAAGGACTCCTAATTTTTTGTTATCCCCAACACCAAACCTTCTATAACTTCGTGTTCTGAATTGTTTCCAAATGTGGTGTGGTGGCCCGAAGACCGGGTATCATCAGGCTTTAGGACTTTGAGTAAAAGAAATTTAGACCCTTTTGGGTGTGTGTAATGTGATTTAGATGATCTGGGAGTTTGGTTGGTGTTTTAGAGCCAAGTGGTATTTTGGTAAAGTGTCAGATCGGGCTTTTATGGAAATTGGTTTTGTTCAGGAAATTTTAAGGCAAGTATGAGTTGATAGAAGTGTAGAGCTTCTCGTTACCTCTTCGTGGATATCAGGATCGCCGGAAACAGACTTATAATGAAGAAGTTATGGCCTTCAGAAGGTTGCACAGTTTGAGGCTAGTCTTACTACACGGGGCATACATAGGGAGTATGCGGGGGGTACTAGTGCTAATTTCAGTATGCAGGGTGTACTCGTGCTAATTTCAGTACGCGGGGCATAACTTGGTGTATGTTGGGCGTATAAAGAAGAAGGACCACGACTATTGAGTGGAGTAGGCTAAGCGTAATGGGAGTATGCGGGGGGTACTCCAGATTCATGAAAACCCTATTTTAGGGCCTTGGACCATATTTAAGCTCATTTTCTCTTCACCAAACCTTAATAGCTTCAATCCCCATCCATTGTTAACCCTAGAATCGAAGGTTAAGTGCAATTTGGTGATTTTGATCTTGGTATGTGCTTGATGGGTGTTTTGTGAAGAAGAAGAAGAAGAAAGGAATCATTTGGAGGTGTGGCTTAGGCTTCTAGATCCAGTAGTATCTTTCCATTTTCAAGCCTCCTAAGTTAAAAATATTTAACCTTGATGATCTTTTTGGTTAAATCTACTTTATGGAGTTTTTTGGAATTTTTTAGTCCCTCAATGTAAAGGTGAGCTTTTCATCTACTCCAGAAGTAGTGTATATTAGATCTAAGCTCCACTAAGGTCCCTTGTACATAATAATGGAAACTTTATGAAAGATTTTGACCATGAATTTATTAAGCTCTTATTAGGTTCCTTTTTAACTGTTGAGTCCCATTTAGACGTGTTTGTTAGCAAACTTGGAAACTTTATTCGATAATACATTGGCTTGGGACCAGATCTATGTTTTGGACATCTTGTCTTAACCCATTAAGAGCAAAATATGGGTTTTTGGATTCCTAACTAATACGTTGGGTGTACGATGAGGTACGCTTAGCGAAATGCGAGGATCATGCATCAGATAGTTGTACATTGCGTATTGTGGTCGAGTATGTGGGGCGTGCATCTCAAGTACGTTGGGTATACTCCACAGGAGATCAGTTTGGAATTTTGAGGTTTGGGCCATTGTTGGGTTTTCTTAGTTTGGGACTTGGTGGGACATTAGACTTCTTTTTGG